AAAGTGAAACAAACTTTACAAATGAATTGATTCCCATGAAAAAAAGCTTATATTATTAGGATGCTTCAATATTTTAACTGAAAAACACACGCAAATACTGATTAAGAAAATGTTTTAATACAGTATGTGGATTGCAATATTTTCTGGGTTGCATTCCACTTCAAAGTTTTTATACCCTGCCTTCCCACGCTAACTTCCCTCCATCTCGGGGTCTTGGATGTACATCACTGTTTATATAGTGTGAGTGTCCACTATAGCGGAACCCGTGTACAAAGTGAAACGCACTTCCAAAACGACTGCAGGGATTCCCTCGAGAGGAAATGTTTAGGGAAGTTCACAGAATGTATGTCTAAAGTGAATCGCATTGCAGTGGAATTTATGTAGCTAGAAGTATTTATCTTCATGTATACTACTGTTTAAAAGTTTGGGGTCGGTAAGATTTTTAATGTTTTTGACATAAGTCTCACCAAGGCTGCATTTATTTGACAGTAGATTATTATTTTACTTTACAGTAAAAACAGTAATAGTGTGACATATCATTACAATTTAAAATAACCTTTTTCTACTTTAATATTTTAAAATGCAATTTATTCCTGTGACGGCAAAGCTGAATTTTCAGCATCAATTACTTCTATCAGTTTTTTAAAAAAAAAAAAAAAAAAAAAAAAAAAAAAAATATATATATATATATATATATATATACTAAAGTGAAACAAACTTTACAAATGAATTGATTCCCATGAAAAAAAGCTTATATTATTAGGATGCTTCAATATTTTAACTGAAAAACACACGCAAATACTGATTAAGAAAATGTTTTAATACAGTATGTGGATTGCAATATTTTCTGGGTTGCATTCCACTTCAAAGTTTTTATACCCTGCCTTCCCACGCTAACTTCCCTCCATCTCGGGGTCTTGGATGTACATCACTGTTTATATAGTGTGAGTGTCCACTATAGCGGAACCCGTGTACAAAGTGAAACGCACTTCCAAAACGACTGCAGGGATTCCCTCGAGAGGAAATGTTTAGGGAAGTTCACAGAATGTATGTCTAAAGTGAATCGCATTGCAGTGGAATTTATGTAGCTAGAAGTATTTATCTTCATGTATACTACTGTTTAAAAGTTTGGGGTCGGTAAGATTTTTAATGTTTTTGACATAAGTCTCACCAAGGCTGCATTTATTTGACAGTAGATTATTATTTTACTTTACAGTAAAAACAGTAATAGTGTGACATATCATTACAATTTAAAATAACCTTTTTCTACTTTAATATTTTAAAATGCAATTTATTCCTGTGACGGCAAAGCTGAATTTTCAGCATCAATTACTTCTATCAGGACCACTATCGTCAAAGATGATTGACAATTAGCATACAGTTTGGATTGGCGGTATGGTTCTGTTCTGGGCAAGAACTCCCTGCGCATCCATGCATCCTATCATGGATGAGAGCAGGGAGAGCAGCGATAATCCCCCAGGGTAAACAGAACCAACATAAATGTATTGCAGGTATCGTTAAAGTTCAATAATTTTATGTACACATTTTAGAATTAGTCTGATTCAAAGGAGAATCAGAAGGCTGAATGCCGACTGACAGAGGAGGAGTTGGGGATGGAGGAGGGTAATTAGCTATTGAGCAATGCGAAAACTGCTGATAATATTGAGGGACCTTATAAATGAATGCTTAGATAGGTGTCGTATTCCTATAGGTAGATGGGGATCAGCTGAGTCAGCTGATGCGAGCTTGACTAACGTGACCTGCCAGAACTAACGCTACGCTTGATTTCAGTCTCACTCACATGATCTCACTTAATAATATACTGATTTTTTTTTTGGTGGTGAAAAACATTTTAATTGTCTTTTTGATCAAGTAAAGCATTTTTTGCTGAATAAACATATTAATTTCTCTGTTCTTACTGCGTAAAACCTTGACCCCTGTCTAAAATGACATTTGTGTTGATGTAATCAATACCCAGTCTAATTTTTACTATCTAATCAAATCTCACACTAAATTATTTGCCACTAAATATGCAGTTTCACTTAAAAATTGCAGATGAAATTTCATGTTGTCTTTTAGACTGCC